AAGGCAGAAATGACCCTCCGACTCCGACCAACCCTTCCCTGACAGATGGCGCGCCCTGCCAGCGATATAGGGTTGCCACTTGAAAAAAATATTTTTGTAATGTTAATTCACTTTTTAAACTTTTTGGACAATTTCTGAAAATATGTTATATTTTGTTTAGAAATTAAAAAAAAAGTTAAAAAGTTTGCTTGGTTATAAGGTACAAGGCAATCTGAATGTAAAATTTCGTAACCGTTTCCAAACGAAGGTATTCAAATAGAAATAATTTTCTCGATACTGTAACGTTTTTAAAATTGGTTTTATAATTTCTTGGTTTAAATAAAATATCTATCAATTTCAGGGGCAACCCTATTCACCACCGCTTTTAAAAGCAGGGGTGGCCGAGTAATTTCTTCGGCGTTTTTTCAACCCCCATTTTTTAATAAAAACCCTGTGCGAGGTGCTAACTACGGAGCCCTGGGGCTCCGGCAGCGGCAATTAGACGTCCGACTTATGAAGTAACATGTGTAAAAGGTCTAAGTGGCGCTTTAAGGCAAAACGTTTGCGGTAATACAATTTTTCGTATGGTAATAATTAAAAATAAGGTTCGGGGTAATTGTTATATGGAATAAAATTAATTTAACTTTTATTATAAAGACAAGCGCAACTTAAATATTAAAAAAAAATATTCATCTCAGCATATCCTTTGTAGTGCTTCTTGGACTTTACTTTTTAGTGGACTTTTTAATATTTTTTTATTCTTTATTTACTTACAGTCGGAGAAGTTTTGTTAACTTTTAATAATAACCTCAAAGTGTATTCAATTATATCTTTTTTAGGTTATAATTAAAAGCGAAGGCATTGAAACAAAAGCTATAACACATGTCCATCCGCCGCGCAGTTCTAATTTCTTTATTATATTTGATTAACCCTTCAAATTGTGGCCGAAGCGTAATTACTGGCCAGATGCAAACCAGATTAATTACTAGAAAAAGTGTTTCGGACGGCACCTGCCCGACAAACACTTTCGATTCGAAAGAAAAAACCTCAAAAAGCCCACCGATACGTTTTTTTACATCTAATCTCGCATGTTAATCGCCGAGTCATTGTTTTTAAATCACATTTTTTGTACAGAAGACATATGGGTCGGTGATTTTTGAGGTTATCCGTAATAGAGTTTTTGTTATTCAACACTATCGACAATAAAACAAAGACAATTTGTTATTTTCTTTTTGATTTGTATTAAAGCGACAGATGATTCTGAACAGAAGTTTTTTTTTAGAGTAGTAGCTGATAATTAAAGGTTAGGAATGCAGGTTTATAGTTTCGCTTTTAAGATATTTTTAATGAGACAATCCTATAGATTTGTTATTAGAGTATTTAGTTCCCATATTGGTTGGTCGCATTGTCAAAGATACTGTGAATATCATAATTATTTATAATACTATTTTAGTTCGTAAAAAGAGTGAAGTTCTAACGGTGAAGGAAAACATCGTGATGCAATGTGATATGTGTGAAGTCAACCAATCCGCCCTTGGCCAGCATGGTTGACTATGGTCTAATCACCCTTAATTTAGGGTAGGCTCCGAGCCCCTCGGTGGGGACGTATAGTGAGCTGATGATGATGATGAAAGAGTGAATTGAGAATAAGAAAGCGTCTGTCTGTGAAATTCATAGACACCATAGATAAAAAAATCGCAACTCGTATCGAAATTCATTTTTTTCAATTATTCCAAGCATTACTATTGTTAGTTTGGCGCCAAAACGATTATACCTCAGGCATAATAGATTAAAAAAAATGTTTCTTAATCTGCTAAGACTTACTCACACGGGTTTCGCACGGAAGTTGAGCTGTCAAAAAAAGGTGTCTTGGATGTCGTTAGCGCAACCTTGCACAATGCGCGCATTAATATTCATAAAGTGCGACAATATTACGCATTTCAATCACGGGCAAGTGCTAAAAGGAGCTAATCACATGCGCGCGCACATCCCGCTGCTCTCCCGCCATCTTTGTCTCTTGACGTTAACTGTCATTAGCGACGTTTTTAGTAGGGTGACAATTTAGAAGTTTGGCAAAGAAAACTTTCGTATTGCAGTTTAATAGCTCGTTTGTCATACAAAAATTATAAAGCTTTAGGTTCTAATGAAACAATTTGTTTTATCCTAATTTTGAAACTTAATCTTTTAGTTTTATGGGAATCCCATATGTAAAAATATTTAGGAATATTTATCAAATAGAAAATTTAATAACACATACAAATATTTCTTGGTTTCTCCCTCGTCATTTCACCGTAGTTTACCAAAGAAACCAAAAATATATTAATTGAAGTAAAAATGAAAATGTTTTATTTGCTTTAAGTTTTACTTAAAATTTCATACATATAAAATTAAAACATAGAATCATAGACTGAATCCGAAATATAAAAACCAGGAATATCCTCATTAATTTTAAATCACATCCACCCTATTGGGAACAGATCTTTTATGTCGAATGTGACAATAGACACTTTTTGTTTATAGATAAAATTATTGTGTTATAGAGCTTAGGTTTTATTCAAATGACATAAGTAACAAAGGGACGGTTTTGTTCTGAAATTCTATTGCCACCTAATTACTATCCTATTACTATTGAATGAATCCTGAGATAACTTCGCATAAAGTTTTACACGTGTTTTGATCCTTGCGGCGAATCGTAATTACCCGGTGCGATGACATTTATCATGTAAATGTATTTTGAATGATGTATTTGTTGTGCAACTAACAGGAATTTTTATGACAATTGCATTCGTATCGTCATCGTTAATTATGTCAAAATTAGTATGAGATTATTGGTGAACTTTACGCCTGATAAAGGCGCTGCACAATTTTAAATTCAAAATTTGAAATATGTCGATATGATTTCGATAGCCACTAATTTTCATGCTAGGCCCACTGGTCTAGGCCGGTAAGAGAGGCGCTACTATCGAGGATGGTTCTGTCAAATCACTTTGCGGTTGATAATGGTTGAGAATTAAGGATTAGATAGCATTTCGTACATAGATGTAGTTTTCAAAGAGGTTGTAATTAAAAAATATAAAAATATAAGGTTTTAAAGAATATAAGAATTTGTAAATTTACAAAGTTAATTTATTAATCTTGTAGTAGTTGTGCTTTGCAAAAATGTAAAGTAAAATCATTAATTTTTTCCAAAAATTTAAAAGTATCAGGTTTTTCTGTTTATCTTTCGTATCAATCCAATTCGAGTCTCACATCTTCAAAAACATGTAAGAAGTTGACTACAGTGAAGTTAGCTTAAAAAATTGTTTACTATGCATCCCGACTTAGAAAAAATCGATTAAAAAATGTTGAGAAACAAAAAAAAATCAGTACCTGTACCAAAACCGTGAGACGCGCATAAAATTACACATTGATTAGTCTCAGAAAGTATGCAAAATGTTACGTCACCAATTTAACAGATAAAAAATTAAGATTAAAAAAAAACAATAGCCCGGCCCGGCCATCTGGCCGCGCCAACCCTTCTGATTCGCGCCAAATTTGCATACTACGTTTGTGGCGATTTTTTTTAAACACTACAAGATTATGCAAATACGTTTTTTGGACACACTGAGAAATAGATTTTTTTATATCCTGAGAAAGTTCTTGTTGTTTTTTGTAGCATAAGAAAAGTTTTTTCTTACATTTTACAAACAAAAACTTTTTTTTTATTGTTTACGTATAATAAAGTTTGTATGGCATTTATGAATGAGTAAATTAACGATGAACCGGTTGGTCTTGTTCAATATAATAAGAGATGAGAACTAATATTTCCCATACAATATTTTAGAAGGAAGACAAGTGTCAAGTGTTATCCGATGTTTGGTCATATAAAATGAGTAGTATGTTTCTTCACATCATTTTTTGTTTAATGATTACCCGCTACCATCAATAAATATACGTTAATCTTACTAATATTATAAATGCAAATGTTTAGATGGATGCATGTTGTTTCAAAGTATCACAGGAACGGCTGACCGGATCTTTATGAAATTTGTAATAGTTGTAGAACATAATTTGGAAAACATACAGGCTGCTTATTAAGTTTTTTAACTCCGCAAATTCGTAGTCGCGAGTGATAGTATCTAATGTTAATACACTCAATCCAAAGTACGTCTGTCTAGATTTTTTATAGGAAAGCAGTTTGAGTCTTAGAACTCCACGCATTAAAATCTTAGTGTGAAAAATATTTTAGTAACATAATATAATAAGTTTTTGTAACACATAATGTAACCTTAAATGTACATAGCAACTATAACCCTAGTATTTAACTATGTATATAATTTTTTGTACACTATTTTTTCTACCTGAGCCCAGGGGTGGAGCTACGATCCACCCCACATTTTTTCTAAACAAAAAAAAGCGAATAGTGCACAACAAGGGTGGCAACATTTTTTTCTAACGGGCAACATCGATCAATAATTTTCCCGCGCAAAGATCGCATTGGCGCGTCACTCCAGACCCGTTCCGTTTGACAAAAGACTCGAACCCCTTTATGTAAAACTTATTCATTTATTTTTTCGTCCGCTAACGGTCGCCCGTTTTCGGTAATAGCTTAGGGATGTTATTAAAAGGGGGGATGTTTTTTGTGTTGCTCGTCCCGCACGCGATTTGTACCACTAAATTATTTGCCTCACGCACGACTCGATTCTTGAAGATAGTTACTAAAATCAAAGGGTAAATGATTGGCCATTAGATAGAAAATATGTTACAAATAGCGATTGGTCATATGTTATTACATGACTTGCTTAACTTTTTACATTTAATTTATTAAACCAAGACGAATATTCTTAATTAATTTCTATAAGAACTTATAAAAAGCATATTATAGTTAAGACATGTTTCTAATTTTATAGTAAAGATATCTTTTTACGAATTATTAACATCGAAATTACTTAATTGTTTTTTTTTTATTATGAACACGAGTCTGTTTTTCGCGTTTATAAGCTTCACAAAAGAAAACTTCAATGTAAGTTTGTGTTTTCCAGTGGTGGTGACGTCAGCTCCTGCCAATGAAGCCGAGCTGCAGTTATACAGGGTGATGCAGCGTGCCAGTCTGCTGGCGTACTACGACACGCTGCTAGAAATGGGTATGGATATCACAGTTTTTTTTAATTCAATTAGAAAAATTGCTGGCAAATTGAATATCGAATTAATTCATTAATAGAGTAGCTGTGAAGAAATTCGAAGCGTATTCTTTCCGGCAGACATAGATAAGAAAAATATATTTTTTTACATGTGAACTTCTTGAGCCAACACCATAATAACAGGTGCATTTCTACCCATATCCTGACCAATGAACTACTTTTTTTTTAAACACTAACAAGCAAAGACATAAAACGAATTAGACGTTGATCATAACACTAGGCTGCCATCTTACAAAATGGCGGCCTTTTTAATTTTTTTTTTAAATTACCTAATAATTATTACTTAGTGGCAATAGTGTTGTGTTAAAATAATAATTTCTTATTTGATTTTATTAATATATGTTTTTTTCAATTTGATCTTACATTGATAATGTATGACACACGATCAGACTAGATGATACCAGCGCGTTTGCACACCTTTTGATATTTAAAAATGCAATTTGAAATTCCATCAACGTTTCTGGTATTTCTTTACGAAGCGCATATTTCTTGCAACAGGTGTGATGAATGTGTTTGTCTTCGTTATATAAAAACAGAATATTGTATACATAACCTTTGTTTACATTATCTGTATTGACGTTCCGTTTCACAAAGTACTGTGGAAAATTGACTTTTTTGTAAAAATGAAGTTTAAACATTATCAAACATTGCGTACCAACTAGGATGAAGTTAGTTCTTCTGTTTAAAAAAGTAACCTTCAAATATTTTTTAATACACAAATATCTTCATATATTTTTTATCTTACGAAACAAACTTATCAAAAAAATTTATGATTGTAACAAAATGATTAATATAACACAAGATAGGAACAATGAAAAAAATATTTTCTCATCATTCCCAAACGAAGAAATCAAAAAATACATTACCATACGCGAAAAAACATAGCAGTCGTCCCATGCAAATTTCTTTTTTTTTAATTTCTTACTTTTTTAACTGGCAATTATCCGGTCCGTGGAAGGGTTTGGCCGGCTTTAGCCTTTTGTTTTTTTTTCTTAGCCCCTTCGTAACGTGGTCACGTAAGACATTTGCATATTCTAGTCTAAATTAAAACGGAGTGTGAACCAAAGTTTTTTGGTGAATCACACGCTAGCGGTAGGAACAATAATGTCGGAATGAACTTGCATATTAATGACAATCAATTCTTAAGCCCTTTTTTTGGTTTTGAGGATTAAGAAATTGTAATAGTTCTCATTGGAAGAGTGATTTGTACTCATAATTTTGTGAGTAAATATTTAAAATGATTTTTTTAAATGTTCGTCAATAGTTGCCAATTTTTTTCCAGGAGGTGACGACGTTCAACAATTATGTGACGCTGGCGAAGAGGAGTTTCTAGAAATAATGGCGCTAGTGGGCATGGCGTCCAAGCCGCTGCACGTGCGGCGACTACAAAAGGCTCTGCAAGAGTGGGTCAACAACCCATCACTCTTCCAGATACCCATTGTACCCAACATTTGTACAGAGAACCCTTTCATACAATGCAACCAAAGACTTTTAAACATACCCCCTACTATACCCAACGTCCTCCCTAGAACTGTAGCGTCTCCGGAGAGTAGTAGACCTATGTATAGTCCGTCCCCTGGCGCGCCTGACAACAGTTGTGGGTCCACTACATCAGCCCCAAACGTCAGTCCTGTACATAGTCAAGTTACCTTCACTAAGATAGTCCTCCCATCATCTCCCGCCGCCACCCCTGTTACCACAACCGTCCGGTCTTTCTCCCCTCAAAGCGCCTGTCCCCCAGCATCATCAGGTTCCAGTCCAAGTTCAGTAACATCACCAGTCCAGTTAACTCCCGTCCTCTTAGACATTCACGTGCAGAAGTTAGCCGCCGCAGCGGAGAAGTTGAGTAAACATTTACCCCAACTGGAGCCAAAGCCTCAGAACACGAAGAAGAAGATGTGTAAAGACTTGGAGCTGGTAATGATGATGCCGGAGACGGATCCTCGCAGGATGGAGGAGATCAGGAAGTACGCGGCAATATACGGCAGGTTCGATTGCAAACGGAAGCCGGAAAAGCCGTTGACGTTGCACGAGGTAAAAATAATTTATGTGGATCCAAGCTTTAAGTTTAAATTAAAAAGGATACATAATTATTCCTATTATCCAATGGGTCATTTATATTCTTTTACGAATTTGGTTTTATTATTAAAATTACGAAGGATTTGCTGTCCCCCGCGAGTCAGTCCGCACGAATATAAGAAAAAACTTAATTGTTAGCCTATGTGTTTTCTAGACTATGTTCTTCATCTATGCCAAATGTCATCGAGATCCGTTCAGCCGTTTTCAAGATACCTTCTAACTAACATCTAACCATCCATCTAAATATTCGCATTTATAATATTAGTAAAATTTAAGATAGTAATTACTAGGTTTCTAATTGACTATATACTTATGTCGACATGTGTATTGTGCAGGTAATGGTGAACGAGGCTGCGGCGCAGCTGTGCCGGTGCGTGCCCGCGCTGTTGACGCGGCGAGACGAGTTATTCCCACTGGCCAGACAGCTGGTGAGGCGAGCTGGTCTGCATTACTCCAAGCACGGGTCAGTATTGACTAAGATAACATTACTCTTCTATTTACGTAAATTCCTCGTTGTATCCAATTGAGGTTTAAATCAATTTTTTCTTTTGTAATATGAAAATATTAAATTCAAACTTCTTTATTCTCTTTCCAGTCTCCCGCCGACGTCAACAGCAGAGGAAAGAGATAGAGATGAGGAGGAGACACCAAGTAAACGACCGCGGCAGGTTGCGCCAGTCACACATGTAGACCTAACTGATTAGTCTAGATCTAGATTATTAGTTAGATGCTAACATTAACTAACTCTAGTCTAATCTGGCTGTAGGTTACAGAAGGATATTACGGAATGAAACCTAAACAAACTTAAAAACTAATATTCATATTGTATTGAAAAAAATCAGCTTTCGTATAAAATACCTAACTTAAACTTACAATAACTAACTTATTGATTAACATAAGTCAAGTAAAACGACTAATAAAAGGGATAAATTAATAAAATAGGATTTATTGATAACCAATAACAACACAAATATCTTGGTGAATGTAAATTCTAGTTAGAGTTAATTTCTCCAACAAAAAATGAAGTAACTAATTCTCGTTCGTTTCTCATTGAAATAAGAATTTTGAATATATCCAGAGAGATGTACTGATTGTCTTTCTAACGTGATTTATGTCTACATATTAAATATAATCTTGGTGCTAATTTAGATTGTTTCTTGTAAATAATATGTATTTTTTAATATCAATAGATTTTTAGACAAAAATACTTTCTTATCTATTTTATATTTAATTATTATAAAGGTAAGCATGAATAAAACTAACGCTTGAATTCTTTTGCATTTTTGTTTATTATTTATACTTCAGGTTGTGGCATGTTACGGTAAGTATTCTTTAGACTTCTACTGTTTTATGCATGTTTCTATGAAATACTGATAATTTCAATATTTTCATACTGTACAACTAACCTAAAAAATTAAGAAAAAATCCGAATCAAACCATTTTTGCTTGTATGTTTCATTTTTCCAATTTGTTTGATATTAAAACGCAAGTAAAAAATCTGATAACATTAATAGGACAATCAATTTCTTTAATTATTTTTGTATTTAAGGTCTATCTGTGGTCAAGAATCGATTTTTTTAAATATTAAAAAAGATGATTTGGGTCGTATTCAAAATTTGGTGCAACGTCGTGTCTTTTTGTCACTATTGCAAGTCAACGCGTTTACAATAGTTATATTTGATTATTCAATGTTAATTAAATAATGGTTCTGATTGAAATATTGCATTACGTATTATCATCTTTTCAGGATGGAGATGATAATGGAGTGCGAGCCAGCCCTGACGCGGCCAGAGGAACTTCTAATCATAGGTAAAGTATTTCCCTAACCTATACGTTCCCCTGACTTACCAAATCCACTTCCTTAGAAGAGCATGGTAAGAGGAAGTGTGGAAAAAGGACAAGAATTGACCTCTGCAACACACTACAGACGAAATGCAGAATTACTTCGCACTTGATGCATGTCTTCTGTGTGGTTGTGGTATTCCATCGGGCAAGAAGACACATTCGTGATATTAATAATACTCATACTGTTGTTATACATGTTGCAGCTGGTGGGGCATGAAGACGGAGAGCGACGACGCGGACTCCAGGTGCTCGTACTCCAGCGCCAGCACGCCGCCCCCGGTAACACCAACTCTTATACAGACTACATATATACACAGAGCATTGAAGTGTAAGCGTGTCTCTCGTTGTCTTCAATGATCTGTGTGTTTGACCAACGCCAAGGGTTGCGGACATTTGACATTATACTTCTGTACCAACGTTACATTACCAACTTTTATTTGTACAGGAGACAGAGGAATCCCGGCCGCAAGTGGTGGCGTCTCGCGGCGATAGCATCATAGCGGTGGCCAACCCCGCGCTGCACGCCCCGCACACGCCCCACGCACCCCACACGCCCCACACGCCCCACGCACAACACCCCACACGGAATCACTCCAACTGACACCTACTTTAGCTCACCTCTCGCTGCCACTGTCTTTGGGTTCCGTATGACATAATGGACTGGCTATTAGACGTAGTATTTTGTGCCTATTTGACTTCCGCCATTTTGGCGCTGATGGTATAGTTTTACAGCGGTGGTATGAATTGAAACTAATTAAATTGTTAGAATTTAATATCACGTAACATCAACAGGTGCGTTTAAATCGCAACGAAGCAAAAACTGTAAATTCAAAGCAATAGCCTATCCATTTCAGCTATGACAATATGAATTAGACTAATTCTATAATACCAAGCTTTATAATAAGTCAACGTTATTTTGGCCAGCAGAGGCGCTGCAATTGCGGTTATTCTGTCAGAAAATATGTAAACAAAGCGAAATAGAAGCATAGAAAACGATAATCATGACAAGACAGTTAAGGCACGCCTCCCTTCACCCGCGCCGGACGCACCGCACGCACGACCCGCAACGGAATTTTGTATGAACATAGCGCTGCGTCCATCATCCGCGTCGCCTGCATCGTAAGACAGAGCAAATCCGCTTAATCTGTGCGTGCGGTGCGTCAACGGCTCAACGGATCTTGATGAAATATGACACAGATGTAGAACATAGCCTGGAAGAACAGTTATTCTACTTTTAAGATTTCTTAATCCCACGCGGGCAGAGTCGAGGGCGACAGCGAGTATTTTACATTTATTGTAAATAAAATACAAATTCATAAATAACATAGTAAGTTGGATTAATCAATTTATTTATTAAATAGAAATAATTATTAAATATTAAAATGCAAGGATGTTTCCCGTTGGACCGATCGCTCTAATGATCAATGGTCCAATGGGATTTCTTTCCCAAATACAAAATGGCGTAAAAATTATTCCACCAAATGACTAAGTTGTAAATATAATTGTAATTAATTTAGCTTTAAGTTAAAGCCATAATATGCCTTTTAGTCATTATATTAGATTTAGTTTCCAAGTGACGTGACAATGGATACTTTTTAATTATTTTCCTTATTTTTTTTTTAAATAGAAAGTTGTTTTATTTCTCTTAGTTTTTATTTCATTGAAGTAAATTCTTTATTTATACTTAATAAAAACTTTTTACACGTACATTTTATAAAGGAAATATTTTCGTTACGCGACATAAAAAAAGTTCAACACTTCATTTAGCTTTCAGCTATATTATCTTTATCAACAAAAAAAACTTTAAAAGAGTACAAATAAAATAAGAAAATTAATTAAAAAGTCCTTAAAGCGCAGAGGGTTTAGCATGAATATTTATGACATGCATTTTCGTAACGTCATCGGTAAAATATGTCAAAAGTATGAGATGTGTCGTTGTACTTTCCGCCCGATAGATGGCGCTGTCCACATCTAATACAAATTTTGTCGATAACGTTACGAAAACTTTCGTGCTAAGCCCTCAATTTGTTATTTTAGTCATATTTTGTTGTAAGTATATTTATTTTTTATCTAACAATGACATTTTAGTATCAAAGATTTGTACAAACATCGACCATAGATGAAATCCCAACATGTTTTTTGAAAACTTGTTGGCACTTTTTCGTTATAACGCAGAATGAAAATAAAAAGAACAATACGGTAACGTAAAGATGTACAATATATGTGTCATAAATAGTATGTTTAACTTTTAGTTTCCACTGTCATAACACAAGTATTACAACGCTATCGCCATCGCCTATATTCTTATGAATTGTGCTACAACTTGAAATTAATTTCGAAAATTTTCTGTTTTTAATAACACTTTATATTGGGACCTAATTATTTACTTTTTCATAATTAAATGATTATTTTGATTTTACAATATTTAAATACATTACAGGAGAATTCAATTACATTCGTAATGAACATTATGTAAATATTTATAGACATTATTATTATAGTTAGAATCCTTTGGCGCGAGTGACGTGCTTTTATTAAAAAGTCAAGTGTCAGAATGATTAGTGAGGGGGACATATACGTTGACATTTTAGTAAGGCTAGTGTTGCGCCAGTACACCGGCACAGTCAGATTTTCTTCTTAACAATATGTACAGTCGGTTAATTTTAAAATTGAAACTTTATGAGAGGTTGTTCAAAAATAGTGTTTTTTTTTAGTTAGTTCTCTATGATGCTATGGGTGCGATGTTTATGAGGTTTAGACAATTTGTTTCTACATTTTAAAAGAGAATCGAAAGGGATGACTATATTGTTTTTTACTAGTTGTTATACAGTGGAAACATAGTTGTAAACGATATGTTTACACAAGTTTACCTGTGTGTTTAATGTAAATAAAATGTTTGTAAACTTTCAACATGTCCAGCGTCGCCGGACATGTGTTTACATACTTTTAAGATATTAAGTATTAATTGTTTATACATTATTATTGTTTTATTATCCTGTATTCAAGAAGGAAAATATACAATTCATTTTTTTACATTTACAATTTTACATTTTATGAACAAGGAAGATTTTCATTTTTACCTTATGTTAAATTATGTGTTTTCTATTCTGTAGTTAAATTTAAATTCTTAACATATCTCTGCACTATATTTTCCTATTTTATAAAGCAAATAATTGAAAAAGATATATACTTTTGTTTAGGATTTAGGTGCACCGGTGAACAGTAAATAAACATATATAAACTTGTTCCTTATAATCTTTACATTATATTGATTAATATAAATTAATTGTTTCTGAGTCAACAATATTGAGGCTGAATCTAGATCAAAACATCTTCTTTTATTGAAAACCTTATGATTGTAGTGAGACCGTGGGTCTAAAGGAAAGGCTCAGTTTTATGGAAGTTTTGAATTGCAATGAGATGGATTGTCATTCAAGTTTCTCTTTCTGTGTTTAAAAAATACAAAATTATAACTAAACAACAAGTCTAGAAGAGCGTCGGTGGCTCAGGGTTCAAACATTTGACTTGCAATCTACAGGTCCTGGGTTCGAATCCCGCCATGTACCGATGTGTTTTTCGATTTCCGATTTACATAATGTATATTTATCCGAAGTTCTTACGGTGAAGGAAAACGTCGTGATGCAACCTGCACATATCTGAGAAGAAATTCAAAGATATAATACATACATATGTGTGAAGTCAACCAACCCGCACTTGGCCAGCGTGGTTGACTATGGCCTAATCACCCTTAACTTAGGGTAGGCTCCTATCCCCTCGGTGGGGACATATAGTGAGCTGATGATAATGATAATTAAACAACAAGTCTAATACTAGTTTTTTATGAGATTTCACTTATGAGTAATATCAAACAAAACGGTGGCATTCGCAATAAAGCTTGTCGTTATAACAATAGATTTCCACTGTCGAATTCCTTATATAATATTATATTGTCGTACCTTTCATTTGCTTTTAGAAAATAGAGACAGAAATATGTTTTAAGATAAGTGTTACGGCAGTGGAATTTTACGGTTAACGTCTAAACTACGATTGAGGTCGCTAACTGACCACATATTGACTTAGTGTCATTCATACAATATTTAATATCTAGCTAGTTATGACCTTTAGCACAATGCCAAGAAAGCGAACTGCAACCGATACGTAGCGAAAAACAAGATACAGAAAAAGTGGTGTACAGTTTGCTTTACAATTTAAAGCTGCAAACAGGTTCGCTAAAAGAACCTAAGTCCGTACCAGTTTTGTTTCAAATTAACTTTAGTTCCGCGTAAGGGTCCGTTCACACAAACTAGGGATTTGGGGCAAAATTTTATCGCAACCCTAACGCATTTGAAACAAGGCTTAATTTTACTTTTCACGACTTTTTACCCCATCTCCTCTAAAGAGGTTTAAAATAAAGTAAAATCTTCATTTAATTGTATAAGGCTCATTTTACTTACAACTAGCTGTGCCCGCGACTTCGTACGCGTGAAATACAGTCTTTGAACTAACTCCTTACTACATGAGCTATCTGTCAATAAATGTTTAATCACAATCGGTTCAACCATTTCTGAGATTTACCTGAACAAACAGACAAACAAAAATCTTTTTGGTGTATGTACCGTATATATATTCATATATATGTAGTAAAAACCGGTTATTTCAATATTACAAACAGACACTCCAATTTTTTTATATGTAGAGATGTATAGATAATAAAATCTGCTCTACTCTTTGCCTCGGTCTGTCTGAATTTCTAACGCATGCGTGTTAGTATGGTACAAATCTATAACCGCTTTTAAATCCTTAATAGGAAGATAAATATTTGACGGACAGACAAATGGCGTATTGTTTTTATTATGACAATGTCATTATAAAAGGAAGTACGTCCACTTCCTAGCGCACTTATATAGATCAAGTACTACGTACAATTATATAAAATAACCTTTCGTAACTTACTATATACTAGCTGTCGCTCGCGAATCCGTCCACGCGTAATTTAAAAAAAAACTTAACAAGCATTCTGTGTGTTCTCCCAGATTATGTTCTATATTTATACCAAATTTTAGTGAGATCCATGCAGCCGTTACGAAGATACCTTCAAACAAACATCCATCCATATATACATCTATCCATCCACACATTCGCATTTATAATATTAGTAAATTAACCTTTTGTAAGTTATTATACAACACACATTTATTATTTATTATGTTCTTTTAATTCCGCGCGGAGGGAGTCGCGGGCGACAGCTAGTAGGCGATAAAGTGATAAAAATATTTATAGCTTTTCAAGTAGAAATAAAATATGTGAGAACTTAATTAATCCTAATAATTAATAATAACTTAGTTATTTATTTACTTTAAAGCCTTTTAAAGTTGTAACAATTAATATGTCAATTCTATAAAAAAAATAGGAAGTAAATCTAACATGGCGCGCGATAAATAACAACGCAATCTTTAAGTTAACTATTGTTCCTCGTAACTTATCTTATGATATATCGATGTATTGACACTGCAAATGTCACAAACTAGTCTACATAAGGCGATAATAAATAACAGGCATAAAAGGAATAATACTATCTCTTACTAATATTATAAACGTGAATGTATGGATGTTTGGTAGAAGATATCTCAAGAACGGTTACGTGGATCATAGAAAAATTTGTCATATATATAGAACATAGCCTGGAGCACAGGCTACTAATTAAGTTTTTTTAATACCGTGCGGATGCAGTCGTGGGCTACAGCCAGTGTATATGTTAGAAAAACCTTATCAAAGACTATTTAAAATGTATTTTTTTTTTCTATATTTTTAAAAGAAAATTCGCGCTAATATTTATTGATACTAATCCAGGACAAATCACATCTTTGTACGTATACCCTTTCCCTCGTAAATTTGTTGTTAAACACGTGTAATAATAGTGGAAACACATCGTTAAATGTTATCCTACAAAATATAAGATGTAATTCCCATGTTAGTTTACAATGAGTAACATATTTGCACTAAAAACTTTAGGAATCGACCTTAAAATACGATTCGCAAACTTTCGTTAATTACAAAAATCCCACTGCGTCACAGATAGAGGTTATGCGGCAACTTTCAAAGAACTATCGCTAACTATTTGTATTGAATCATATTTAACTAGTATATGGTCATTGCTTGAGAAACGATAAGTTAGCAAAATCAATAATTGTTTATTACTGAAATGCCAAAGTCGAAATATTTTCATCAATCTAAACACGTATTTATAATATTAGTAACATGATGAATACGTACTTGTTCCGATTGCTTCAAATGGAGTCATTCATCTCAGGGACATAATTAAAATGCCTCAATAATTCGTCAGCTGTCATTCCGGCCTTGCGTCTGCCGCCATTTTGTTTTGACATCACACGGAATTTGCATAATATTGATAAATTATTTTGTAATCAATACGTTCATTTTATATGTAATAAAGTACACATGCAATTAAAACGTATTTTTATTATCTATAAAATAATTGCAATTTGTTAAAATCATTAAAAGGTATTTGTTAAAATAATTAAGTTTAAATAATGCTTCGACATATGTTATTAACAATTTTCCTTTGGATTACAAGCAAGCGTAACCGCCGTGTTAAATACTTTATAAGGACC